GGTGAAAAAATCCTGATCTTACTGGCGGATATACGGGGGGGAGGGGGCTTTCGGGCTGTAGTCCTCTCTCCCTCCAAAAATGGTAAAATATAACCATGTTTTCCAGAAAAAAAAACATTAAAACTATCTCTTAAAGTATTCTTGTTCGTGTAATTACATTTAATAGGACTTCAAGAACCACTTAAACACCATTTCATATAGGTAGTTAATTTCTTTCTTTTTTTCAAATTAATTATCGTTTTATATTATTGTTCCAACTTCCTTGAGCAATCCAACCAACTCGATCCTCTCCAATCTGGCTTCCGTCCTGGCTACTCTACACAATCTGCTCTGATTAAAATTACCAGTGATATTCAGACGGCAATAGATGACAAAAAACTAACCATACTTATATTTTTTGATTTCTCCAAAGCTTTCCATTCCATTATCCATTCCATCCTTTTCAACAAATTAAAATCATTATCCTTCTCCAATAGTTCCATCTCTTGGTTCCAGTCTTTCCTCTCACAACGAACCCAAGCAGTTTCCATACCTAATCGACCTCTATCTGCCTACCTTCCTTTATCCTCTGGAGTTGCACAGGGTTCAAGCATATCTCCTCTTCTTTTCAGCTCTTATATTAATGACCTAAATGATTCAATTATCCATTGTTCCCACCACCTTTATGCCGACTATTCTCAAATCTATTTATCCTTTTCTCCCGCTGAGTTATTGGTGGCATTTGCCAAAATTCAAGAAGATTTAGATCGAATTAGTGCCTGGGCCAACTTAAATTGATTAAGGCTAAATGCTGCCAAAACTCAGGCCATTCACATTGGTTCCAAGCCTCTTCTTAGATCCCACACCAACTTTCCCTCACTCTATCTAAACAACCACCCCATCACCTTCTATCCCTTTGTTAAAAATTTAGGCTTTCTCATAGATCAAACCCTTTCCTGGAATCACCATATCTCTCATATATCCCGCCGTGCAATTTCTACCCTCAAACTATTCCATCACTTCCGCCATCTTCTACCCCAAAATACCCGTAGACTCCTAGTTTCCTCTCTCATCTTTCCCCACTTTGACTACAGCTGTGTGGTGTACGATGGCCTCTCGGTGGAACTCCGTGATAGACTCAAAAGACTTATGAATAGCTTCGTAAGATTTGTAATTGGGACCCCGAGACGCTCCCGTGTCTCCCACCACTACACTGAGTTAGGGTGGCTCTTCCCCTCTTTAAGAAGACAATATTTCCTAGGCACTTTCCTTTATCAAATCATTACCGATCATCGTCCTTCTTATGCCTACAACCTTCTCCAATTTAAGTCCTCAATCCATTCCCTCACTACAAGATCCCGACCCTCTGACCTATACATCCCTTCTCATAGATCTGCCTCATTCCAAAATTCTTTTATAGCCCGCTCTGTCAACTTTTGGAATTCCCTCTCGATCAAAATTCGACATGCTCCTTCCCTATACACATTCAAAAACCTCCTATTCCAATTCCTGTTCCAAAAACAGTCAGATACCAGCTAACTATTAATATTATATATGTATTGTGTAGCAGTCATATAATCATGATACTTGGTAAGACGTAGTACATGCATTTCCTACTATCGACGTAGGAATTTCAATACATACATTTTTTTTTTTTATTCAATTATTATTCAATTGTTATTCTGAAGGGATTTAGTCCCAGAATAAAGTTTTTTATATATATATATATATATATATATATATATATATATATATATATAGGAAAAAAAAATTTGTCGGGCTGAAGCTCCCTCTCCCAAAAATTAAATCCTGGATCCGCTAGTGCTTATAAGAACATATAAAACAGTCTAAAATTACCTAATAGGAATGGGATATTTTATTTCACAAATGGTCATAATCGGGCAAATGGAATTTTTCTTGTTAATGAATATTTAGTTAATACAACTAAAAACATGAAACTTAAAAAAAATAAATAAATTTCTTGCTTTACTTCAAAAATTCCGACCATAGTTTATATGAACTTTTTTGTAGCTCTTATTGTCTAGTACAAATTCTTAAAATATTTCCCTTTACTTAAGGGATAATCTTCATAATCAATTGTTGTAATAAAAGGTATTAAGAGTCGGAGTTTTTAATTCAATATTAACTTCGTCCGCTTTTCAAAGATTAAAACAACAGTCCGAAAAACAACAACAACAATATATTTGTTAGATATTTACATCCCCATTCTTTTCGGAGAAATATCGATGTTTTTCGATGTACTGATTGCTATTTCGATGTATTTGAATTATATCGATACGACATTTATCGATTTTTTCCCTTCAGATATTTGCACCACAATTGCAAAGGGCTCCTAAGTCTTTAAATACCTTAATTTCATTTTTAGCTTGTTGGAAGTCTTCAGGAATTTATAATTAATTAATACAGTGAACTTTTATCGAATTATTTTTTCCTAGCTATACTAGACTAGGTAAGGAAAGTATTAAGATCGGGTCAAATTTTCGATATGCGGTTTTCGACGGATCTATAAGTTTAAGAGCCACTAAATTCAAAAAACACATTTTTAGCCATTGATCTGTCTGTCTTTGCCAAGATTTTCTCGGAAACTAGTGAACCAATTCTGTTGCTTCTTGTTTTATTTTGTATGGTTTTGACTACTGATGCTTGTGACCCAAATTGGGTGCTCCATGCGCAGTAGCTGCTGCGCAATAAATGAAGAACACGTTTTTCTATAGATTGTGGCGCGAAAACGGCTCTAACGATTTTTATGAAACTTTCCTATAATTTTCTAATAATTGTTCTTTAAATTTTCGCACATGGACTATCACTATGGACGCACATCCGAGACAATTAAGGAGAAAAAAGTTATAAAGAAAAGAAAAATGTTTTGGGGCCTAACTCGCTAAGTATATATTCTATGGTAACATTTTTGAAAGATAATTAAATTACCAACGAAACAAAAAAAAAAAATCATCGGAATGGAACAAGTATAAGCGATGATACAGCTTATTATGTTTTCTACACATGTTTTAATTTATTACTTTTCTTCCTATGCTAGGTAAGGAAAATATTACGATCGGGTCAAATTTTCGATATGCGGTTTTCGACGGACCTATTGCTCCCCCTGAGTTCGAAAAGCACCGTTTAGCCTGTTTTTTAAAGGTAATGAAATTCCCTACATAACTATATCAAATCGTTCGTTCATTTCGGACAACTATTAACGAAGTTACAGCTATTCAATTTCCAATGCATGATTACGGGTTCATATCCTGGTGTCAGAAAGAGGTGAATGAGAAAAAAAAGATAACAAAGTGAAAGAAATAAAACCTGTTGCCCGCATCACACAAGCTTCACTATTTACTTTACTTTTAACAGAAATTAGACTATGGCAAAAAGTTTTTGATAAGCAATATTAGAGCGTATTGAAATGTTTACACTGATCTACCTTAAGCCTTGTTTACATTGCTTTAGTTAATCAAATAAATCGTAATCAAATATTTTCTTTGATCAATTTTCAGGAAAATAAATCTAATTCAATTTTTTTTTTTTTTTTGTTTCTCGATGGGCATATGTAAAGATTTAAAAACTTTTCTGAAATAGGTAGGAAAGTCGTGTGAGTGGACACACCAGATTTTTTTATTTTCCGCTATGTAGGCTGAGGCACGAGCGGATCTAGGGAGGGGGGGAGGACTTTCGGACTGAAGACCTCTCCCCCCAAAATGGTAAAATATAACCATGTTTTATCAAACAAAATATTAAAAAATTATCTCTTAAAGTATTATTGTTAGTGTAATTACATTTAAAAGGGCTTTCGGTATCACTTAAACACCATTTCATATAGGTAGTTAGTTTCTTTCTTTTTTTCCAAAGTAATTATCGTTATTTTTATGAAAAAAAAGCTTTCGGGCTGAAGCCCCTACCCAAAATTAAATCTTGGATCCGCTAGTGGGCTGAAGAATAAAAGAAACCCTGAAGCGTTCCCAAAACATCAGAATAACATATTAGTTACATAACTATTAAATCAAAAATAAATTAATAAAAGTTCACTGTGATTAATTATATTATAATCAAACGATTTCAGAAATAACCGGAAAGGTTCAAATAGCTTCCTTAAAGTAATCAAATAAATAAATTTTTAAAAAATGTTTAATTTATGGTCTCTAAGTTGAACATTTTTGGGGGGAAGGGGAGACTAAATTATTTAACCTTTTAGCGCCCCCCCCACTTAGCTCCATCCGCCCTTTTTTTTAACTTGATTGAATTTTTGAACCCATCCTCCCCCCACACACTCACACATAGATATCTTAACCTAGGAACTGACATATATATATATATATATATTTTACAATTTAGAACAAAATATAAATATATTTTTGGTTAATTTTATCTTTTTCATGGCAACGGGATCCCCTCATTGCTACCGAGAGAGAGTAACATATTATAAATTATATTAAAATACATATTATATATGATATAATTAGGAAAAAAAAAAGAGCAAGGTAAACCATGTAAAATTTTGTTCTTATTTATTTATCTTATCTTAATACGCGGTGTATAACATAAATATGGTGAATTCATAGATTAGAAAAGCTGTTGCTATCAGAATAAAATATAATATTAAAATTAATATCATGGGTGGTAAATAAACGAAACGTCAGCATTAATAAAAACTTGATATGTAAACATTCGACTAACTTCCTTCAATAATTCATAAAACTAATATCATAAATTATAATATTGACTATATAAATATTGTTTTGTTTACTTTAGAAATGTTGACTATAAAATTTTTAGTTTCGATGTTACTAATTAGTTTCGATTTTGTGGAGTATAGAAAAGGTATGGCCGATATGTACTATTGTTTTTTATCTATTCGTAACTATTGATTAGAAATAAAATTAATTACATAGTATTTTTCTAAATTTTAAAATTAGGTTTGAACAAGTCATTAATATTTATTTTTGTCTCAACTGTAAAATGAATTAGCAATATAAATATTAATAGTAAATATATTCATGTACCTTTGAGAAGAAATTTATGACACTTCCAAAACCAACGGAACGATAAATATTATTTTAGTGACAAATTCACGGTGCTATGGCTATCATCATTTCGGTTCAACTGAGCTGGCTGATTATTAATACAACAATCGGTATAACAAAACACCAATCGCCGTATATCGGTAAACAAACGTGTTGTTGAGAGGTTTCTGTTACTTTTGGAATTAGATTCCTGTTTACCATTAAAACATTCAAATCTGATTTTTAGTAAGTCGTTTATCCCCTCTTATGTTTTTAAATTTCAGGTCGAATGTACTTAATAGAATCTTCTAAATGATTTTGAATTATGTAACACGTAATTTACTATGGATTACACGTAATCTGAAGGATTTGCACGTAGCAAGTCATGATCGTCTAATAAGATGCTCAACTGGGAAAGCCATTAACTGAATCGGCAATAACACAATATTTAGCGATATTCATTCTTTATCACTAGCGGATCCAGGATTTAATTTGGGGGGGGGGCTTAAGCCTGAAAGCTTTTTTTTCATATGTATAAAGATAATTACTTTGAAAAAAAAAAGATAGATTCTAATCTTCTTAAAAAATTATTGAAGAAAAACTTTGAATTTTCAGCTTGTATATATATATATCCGGAAATCGTCTACCCTCGTGATATCAGCCGCGAAAATCACATATAAAGAGATTCCTTAACTTGTGGATGACTTCAATGTCTAACTTTAATGTTTTCCTTTTAGAGACACCACAATACGATTCGACTCTACCACACGAATCAATTCCAGTAATATGTACTGAGAAAGAGCCATTTCCATTTCGTCTCTCGCCAGCCAATTTTATTCATTTTTACTTTCACTTAACTATATATGAAATATATAGTAAAGGAAAGTATTGCGATCGTGAAAATTTTTGAATCTCAGTTTTCAACGGAAATACACGTTTTGAGGTCTCCTGAGTCCAAATAACCAAGTCCCGCAAAATGGACTGTGTGTGTGTGTTAACAGCCTAGCTCAAAAACAAAAAGTCGTACGAAAGTGAAATTGCATATTTAAGGTTTTCATATGCTAGGGATGTTACAGTAACTTTTTCGTCAAAATCGACTGACCGAAAGTGGTACATTATATCATGGGCTAAACACATTTTTACAATTTTCTCTGAAACTTTAGAACTGAAACGGGTCTAAGGATTTTGATTAAATTCATTATATCAGTGTAAAATTAAACAGTTTTAAATAAAATGTAGTTTTTTTTTTATTCTGATTGATGTTGTATAACAGGGCTTAAATGCCTAATTTTCAATATTACCTTCCTCTTAAGTACCTTTAACTTTTATTATTTAAAAAAAATTGACTATTTCACATTAATCTCTAATATAAAAGACAGTTAAATATATGTCTGAAAATCCTTATTTCTGCTAAGAAGAGTAAGTGAAAGTTGTGTGATGCTTTTTTTCATGTTCGGTTTACCAGGAGTTCGGATTATCGAGACCGTCCTGTGTTTAGAAAATTATTATAGCCTGCTGAAGAGACATTTTATCATAACAAATACCTTATTTATTCACTAATATTTTTTCAAAAATGGAGCGTTTTCATCTTGATGATTGGTTGATGAAAATTTGTCGATTTAATGAGGTACTAAAACTCGTGAAAACCCATTTGCTCTCAACTTGAGTCGTAAGATATTTCAATATTTTTGCCTGTAGGTCAAATAAATAAAAAAATCACACTTATTTTGTTGATTATTATTTATTAATGTACATTTTGGGGAATATCTCGTTAGCAGGTAATGATTTTGCAAACACGAGTAGATTTGAAGCTAGAATGCTTAAGAGGGTAACGTCTGAACCACTAGCGGATCCAGGATTTAATTTTTTTTTGGGAGGAGGTGGTTAGGGGTGGTTCAGCCCGAATTTTTTTTTTCATATGTATAACGATAATTACCATGGAAAAAAAAAGAAAGATACTAACTACCTATATGAAATGATGTTTAAGTGATTCTTGAAATCCTATTAAATGTAATTACACGGACAATAATACTTTTAGAAATATTTTTTTAATAGGTTTTTCCCTTGAAACATAGTTACATTTTACCATTTTTTGGGGGGAGGAGGCTTCAGCCCGAAAGCCCCCTTGTAGGTCAGCCTTTGTTCTTTATTAAATAACAAAGCAATGGCTAAGAAAGAATTAGCTTAGCAATTTATTTTGAACTATTTTTATTTTATAGGCTGCAGAGTAAGATAAATACAAATGAAGTATTATATCAAAGGCATACTCTTTAAAGAATCAATAGTTGAAATTCCCAACATTCGTCCAGCAGCCTTTTAAAAGACATTACAATTCATCCTATTAATTTATTTTTGTGTTCTTCGAATCATTAATTCAGACTTTTCATTCTGGTTGGGAGGGATCGATGCTTCCCGCCCCCCTCCCAAAAAAGACTCAGAAGTTTATATTTTGTATAAAAATTATGAGTGGCAATAACATAGTCAGCATAATTACTGTAAAACTTTCAGTATAATACTATATTCATGTATATATACAAAATTATATATATATATATATATATATATATATATATATATATATATATATATATATATATATTGGTTTTTACTTTCTTACCTATACTAGGTAAGGAAAGTATTGCAATCGGGTCAAATTTCCGATATGCGGTTTTCGACGGATCTATACGTTTCAGAGCCCCCGAGTCCGAAAAACACATTTTTAGCCATTGCTCTGTCCTTGCCAAGATTTTCTCGATAACCAGTGAACCAATTTTGTTGCTTCTTTACTTATCTTGTTGGATTTTGACAACTGATGCCTGTGATACAAATTGGGTGCTCCATGCGCAATAAATGAAAAACATGTTTTTCTATAGACTGTAGCGCGAAAACGGCTCTAACGATTTTGATGAAACTTTCCTATAATGTTCTAATAATTGTCTTTTGAATTTTCGTATATGGACTAAATTCCAGAGAAATTTCAGGAAAAAAAGTTATAAAGAACAGAAAAATATTTTGGGGCCTTACTCGCTAAGGATATATTCTATGGTAAAATTTATAACAAAATTTTAGAAGGTAAAAAAATTACCAACAAAACAAAAAAAAAAATCGGAAACAAAAAATACAGTATTTGCGATGATACATACAGCTTATTATATTTTCTACACATTTTAAAATTTATTACTTTCCAGCCTATACTAGGTAAGCAGTGTGAATGTGATTTCTGAACTCTATTATAAATGTCCATTGAGACAGATTATAATATTTTTCAATAAATAAGTTAAAAAATACTAGTTAAGGAAAGTATTGCTATCGTGTCAAATTTCCGATATGCAGTTTTCGACGGATCTATACGTTTCAGGGCGCCAGAGTCCGAAAAACACATTTTTAGCCATTGGCCTGTCCGTGCCAAGATTTTCTCGGGAACTAGTGAACCGAGTTTGTTGCTTCTTTATTTATTTTGTAGGGTTTTGACTAGTGATGCCTGTGATACAAATTGGGTGCTCCATGCGCAATAGCTGCTGCGCAACAAACGAGGGGGTGTGTTTAGGCCGTTCACTAAAAGCTATGCAACGTTTTTTGAAGCTGATCGATTTTTAAGTTTGGTGGCTCAAATTATTCAGTGAAATCCCCTGAGTGTTTTGAAACTATTTGAGCTAAAACTACTGACCCGTTATTAAACAAAATTTGCAAAAAGCTTTCTAACGCTGTTTTAAGCGAATGGCTTGATTGATTTTTAAGTTTGATGGCTCACATTATTCGGTTAGATTTCCTAGGTGTTTTGAAACGAGTTGAGCTTAAATTGTGAATCGTGATTAAATAAAATGTGTTTAACTGATTTAAATTATGGCAAATTACTGTGTAAAGTGTGTTTAATCAAACCGCTAAAAAGCTACGTATTTTTTGAGCGGATGGTTTGACCGATTTTTAACTTTGACGGCTGTAATTAATTACTCAGTGAGATCCCAAGAATGTTTTAAAAACAATTTTAGCACAAAATACTTACAAACATTTTTATTACGGTTTAAGTATCTTGATTATTCATAGATTTTAAATGATATCATGTGATCATTTCTTCAGCACCATGTTAAAGAAACAAATGCGCAATGTTGGACAAGCTCTAATATTTGTTATTTTAATATGGTGTCGACGATATTTTATGAAAATAAATTGTTAATGTTTAAATTTTAAAAATGTTAAAAGAAAAATCTGGTGTGTCCACTTACAAGACTTTCTTCCAACCTATTCCATTAAAGTCTTTATATCTTTACATATGTCCATCAAGAAACAAAAAAAAAATTGTAATAAATTGAAAAGATTCATTTTCCTGAAAATTGATCAGAGAAAAGATTTGAGTACGATTTATTTGATAAACTAAAGCAACGTAAAGATAGATCAGTGTAACAATTTCGATACCCTCTAATATTGCTGATCAAAAACTTTTTTCCATAGCCTAATTTTGTCAAACAATAATTTCTGTTAAAATTAGAGTAAATAGTGAAGCTTGTGTAATGTGGGCAACAGATTTTCTTACTTTTACTCATAGTTATCATTTTTCTCTCATTCACCCCTTTCTGACACCAGGGGTGTATGTACCCGTAATCTTACATTGGAAATTGAATTGCTGTCCAATATGAACTTATCTTTGTTAATAGTGGTCCGAAATGAACGATTTTTATTTAGTTTTGTAGGAAATTTCATACAAATGAAATTTCCTACAAAACTAAATAAAAATCGTTCTTTACATTTCATACAAATGAAATTTCCTACAAAACTAAATAAAAATCGTTCATTTCGGACCACTATTAACAAAGATAAGTTCATATTGGACAGCAATTCAATTTCCAATGTAAGATTACGGGTACATACACCCCTGGTGTCAGAAAGGGGTGAATGAGAGAAAAATGATAACTATGAGTAAAAGTAAGAAAATCTGTTGCCCACATTACACAAGCTTCACTATTTACTCTAATTTTAACAGAAATTATTGTTTGACAAAATTAGGCTATGGAAAAAAGTTTTTGATCAGCAATATTAGAGGGTATCGAAATTGTTACACTGATCTATCTTAAGCCAGTTTACGTTGCTTTAGTTTATCAAATAAATCGTACTCAAATCTTTTCTCTGATCAATTTTCAGGAAAATGAATCTTTTCAATTTATTACAATTTTTTTTTTGTTTCTTG